GATACTCCACTATCAAAGATAGTCAGAATGCCCCTGCCTAATGCATATACAGTTGCTCAGCGTGCATGTCTTAATTTAACTTTTCCTCCTCTGCAATTACAGTGAAGAAAATGGAGATGTCACTGTTTCAGAAGTGCCCTATGCAGAAGCACACACCAACTCAAAACATACTCTACTACATCTCAGACGTCCTTCCCTCACATAGCTGTCAACCACACATCAGAAAGAAACATACCATGGAGACCACAGAGGGAGAAAGAGAAGAAATGAGAGAAGGTTATTGCATGTAACATATGGTTAATACTCATTAGAGAGAAAAACACTCACAACCTGCTTTTATAATCCATCTGTAACTGCATTAACTGTGTGTATATAAATGGAGTGACAGTCAAATCTCTGTGATGTAGAGGAAAACTAGGTTTCAAATATTTCTAAAAACTGAAATGTGTATAAAATTAGTACTGTGATCCTTTTAGTAAGGCAGATGACATCAATGATAATCAATGGCAATCAATAGTAATCTTAAGAGGGCCACAATGGAAATAAGCTTCAGGGCTTTATTGTACTTTAATGCTGTGTGATTTTATTACATGTAATTATATGTATTTTAATCAAAAAACAAACTACTTTTTCTCTCTTGTCTGTTTATTTCTGTCTCTGTATGTTATCGCAGTTTGCCATGCAAGCTGCCACTCAGTAAATGAAAGGCCCATTTATCACCCCCAAAACTTCGCCTTAAGGCCTCCCCCAACCAGAACGCTTTACTGTGCACTGTAATTTACGCTGCGTCATTTGAATGCAGTAGGAAAAGGATCGATGCACAGAAGCCCTTTCCAATCCCTGTGTGAAAGGTCAAACAGGATTGGTCGATTACAGTTCAACTCCACATTATAGCTGATCTAAACTGATGGGAGGACTCAGTTTTAATTAAAAAGAACCAATATCAGGGGTCCTACCACTGCGTAAACACAGAACAACTGCTACGGTAATCGCATGGTAAGTGGTAAGACATGAAAACAATAAGAGAAAGAAAATGAATGAAGAATAGAGAGACAAAAAAAGAAAGAGAGACAAAACAGGCAGCCATGATACACAGCATAAAACAGTATATTCAGAATATTAACAGAACACAATATTAAACTGCACTGAAATTAGTAAGCCATTCAAATATGTACAACATTTCCACATGAATGGATTATATATTACATATATATTACAATACAATTACTGCCAAAGGTAAGTAAACTTAACAACAAAATTGTGTTGATTTAATATACTTTGTCCATGTGAAAATGATGCATACATTTGAATCAGGTAAATTCAATGCATTCCTTTATTCAGTCTACAAAAATAATAATATTCATTCTATTAATACGAATAGCATCCTCTAACCAGAATGTGACTAATTTACACTAAACGGGACCAGATCCGAGTCTTAACTGTTAATACTAAACTGCACGACTGCTGTTAGATCAGTGTCAAGAAGGAAACTCTAACCAACACCATAAATACACTGCTGTCTGTCTTATGGAAAAGTCTCTACATGCACTGACAGCAGATATGTCACCTTTGGCCCGGCCAAATCTGTTCTGATATTTTACTCTGCTGGCAGGACTGGTGTAAAAGCAGTGTGTGTGAGTTAGGGAGTGTGTGTGTGTGTTTGGGTATGACTAAGTGACAGGCGTCAGTGGGTATGATGTATGAAGCAGTGTGGGAGTTCAGAAGTGTATGTGTATCTGTTGAGGAGGAAAAATGTCAGATTCTTTGCTGATATGCAAAGTTAGCATTAATAAAGTGAATGAGCCCATACTTAACGAGTGCTGTTACACTATACTAAAACCTGACATAGCTTGCTTTATGTGGACAAATTACATGCAAAACATCATAATTAGATTTTTATACAGGTTCAACACAACATTGATAACCTCTACAAAAGTTATCATCAGTTTATTACTTGTTAATGACAAATACAGAGGGAAAAAGTCACTATGTAGGCTATAGAAAATTAAAAATCAAAATTTTTGTCATTGTATCTTGGCACCCTGAATAAAACTCACTTCAAAATTGATTCAGGGGTGTCTTGAGATCACCACCAAGTATTATCAGTGAAAATGTATTCTTCTTGAATTTATAGAGTGTTTTGAAGCGTAGAAATGTACATAGATTGGTTTCTGAATGCTTGTTTTTTTCACAACATAGGAAAAAATGCTTTGTTTATCTATAAAATTCATGTGCATCTGTGTGTGAACGCACAGTATGCATGTCGATCTGTATGTAAGCGTGTTGCTGTGTGTAGAGCTGCGTTTCTCTCTCTGATCATTAAAACTCTCAGGATGGTCGCCAGAGACACGGCACAGCCAGCAGCTTTGAAGTGAAACTCCCCCACCAGCACAAGCTCACAGCAACCATAAAACCCACCGTAAATCTCTCACACAACAACTCTCTTTCTCTCTCTCTTCCCTTCTTCCCTCCTCCTTTTTTTCTTTTCTGTCCCATCTCTATGCCCTCCCTACAGAGACACCCATATATCTCCCCTCTCCAAATTCACATTACCTCCTGTGAGATCACTGATAGAATTCAGCAACATTATCAGCCAAATCTCAAACTTTCACACTGTCCTCCCACCGTTCTGCTTACTTTTTGAGGTCACAGGTTTAACTGAATACAGCTCACAAATTATACATTCAAAGCTTTAGAATACCAAGACACCATTCATGCTTACACAACATCTGAAACATGCAGTTCTGAGCCTGAACTGATATATCGATTGGCAAATAATACTGGACAATACTGAGGCTAGGCTGATTAACTGATGCTATACTTATTACTTGTGAAGTTATATTATGTCTCAAAAATTTCTGTAACACTGAGGTTAATAACTGATCCCACTGATTACAGGTATTGGCAGAAATGCTGCTGATAAAACATGTTTAATGACTTGTTTCATAGTATAAATTATACAGTGTTTATATATTACAGGCAGACATTTGGTGGGCTGAAACTGTTCGTGGTATACATTATTTAATGTTTAATAATTATAATAAAGCTTAATAATTCAACAAAGAGTTTTTTTTAACAATTTTGACAAATGTGACAGCTAAGCACTGAATCATTTCTGACAATTCACAGGTGACAACATCATACTACTGCAGTCTATTTAACTTTTAACCATTTTAAATATTATACTATATTTAAATACTTAAATATAAGTATTGGCTGATATCAGTTATCTGAACTTTTTGCTCCTTAAAATATAGGAATCGTTCACAAAAATTCACATCAGTTAGACAGTACTACCCAGATATAAACTTCTCTTTCCAACATTTTACACTTATTTAAGAGAGGAATGGAAGGGTGAATAAGAAAGTCGGGTCAATGGATAATGTACAGCTAATACCCAGTGTGCTTGTCCCTACAGAGTAAAAAATAAAGACATGCAGAAAAGTAAAGAGAGAAACCGAAAGAAAGAATGAGTGCACAGGTACTTGGACTGTACAGTTTGAGAAATCTATTTCATCTCTTTTCTGGATCTGGCACCAGCCTTACACCAGCACCTTAACCACAATCCAAACTGGTCTCAGATCAGCAAAGTCCTTAGTTTTACCCCACTGATCTGAAAGTCAGCTGCTGACCAGCTGGCTGACCTCTTTCTGGCCACAGATGGCCACTGCTCCTGCAAAGCATTGTGGGACGGTCCGCACAGCCACTGTTCCCAAACGGGACGAGATAAAGAGTGACCCTAGGGGTGTCCGAGAACAAGGCCAAACACAAGGCAAACACTCAGCGCCCCCTCATTCCCATTCTCTGGCCACAGCAAAGGCTCATGGGAAGGCCACTGGGCTGACCAGTATTTAGGCTCAGAGGTCAGGGGTCATGTAGGGTCACTAAAAGAGGTCAGGAAAGAGGGAGGAGGAAGTGGACATTGGGTTTTTGGGGGGGAAAGGACCATTTTGGGCTCGGAAAAGAGCCCTTCTATCAATCACCAAACAGCTCCACTGTCAATAGAGCCAATACCTACTCATAACCCCCACACTGGCATTGTTCTCTCCCAGCCAATAGCAGCAGCCTTCAGGGTCATTGATAAAGGGGTGAACAGCTCTGGTGGTTTGCTCTGAATTCTGGCCTGGGCTGAATTTGTTTTATTTAAAATATTGGAAAGCCTGAATTTTTAATGTATGACTTTAAAATAGGGGTGTGAGGATACAATTTTTATGATAACCTTAAGTGTCATGGTTTTTGCATCAAATTACAATATATTTTCAATACAGAAGTAGAAAGAAATTTCTGCATTCATTTTGCATTCAGTTTTTGATCAAAGTCTAATTGTCCAAATAAGACCACAGTGATTGGTAGAAGCATAATTACTAAGCCTATCCTCATTTCTTTAGAAGATTTTCTAAGAAAATTATGTTGGATGCAGGTACTTTTAGGAATATCATAATATTTTTTTAACAAAAATCATTAAAATTTATGTTAGTATGTCTGATACTATAAATAGATTTTATGACAAAAATGTATCTGTTTAGATACAAAGTATATAATTACTGAGAAAATGAATATATACACATGAAAGTGTGTGCATCCCTATAAAATAGAATAGTATAGAATAGAATTAGTACAATCATCATACTGAAATACATATTCTGGAATATGGTGTATATTAGTGGCATTTGGTCTCTTTTCACCCTACTTTTCACCACCTCTTTCCCCAAAACCATCCATCCACTCATCCATCCACCTTCCCAGCTATCTCTGAACCACAAACTACTTCATAACCCCTCAGGTCAATCACTGACATCACTACAAAGCTTGACAGATAGGTCAACATACTGACTAGCTCAGTTTAAGGTGGCCTTACTCTGAACCTAGCCCCTGACCTACAAATACAGCATCACTGCACACCAATCAGAAACCATATCAGATCTGATCTGAGATTAGACACCCAGTCTGTTCTGATTCTTCATATCACTGAGAATGCTGAGCGTAGCATCTCCACTCACCCAAGCCTCCGACAGTGTGTTGGTTGAGGTGGGGGGGCAGCTGGATGGGGGCACTCTCAGGCTGGCTCTCCTCATGGTAGAAGAGTCTGTATCCTTGCAGGCCGGCCACAGAACTGCCCACAGCCAGACGCCAGCGCACAATAACAGTTGTACAGTTCAGAGGCTCCAACTGCAGCTCTGGCGCCAGAGGAACTGCCAATGGATGAGAAGAGAGAAAGAAAGACAAAGCGAATGAGATCTACCAGCATTCATCTTTGTAGGACTAGGTCAATTAAGAGATTAAACTATATTATTGGATTAAAAAATAAATTTATTCTAAATTAAACAACAATAATTAAAATAATGCATGCTTCAAATCCTCTTGGACGATGATGAATGCAGCCATTTATATTAATTTGACATAAAGTGAATAAACAATTAATCACCAAAATAATTGACAGATTGTTCAATTGATGATATAATTAATAGTGATATGTAGAGTATTCATATATGAAAAGTCTATTCTGAAACATTTTCATTTATAACTGTTCACAGGCTAGGAAAATTAGCCCATCAGGACACAAGCACACCAACAAACTCAATCGCGAAAACAAAAGTGTGTTAGGACAGCTTTACAATGTTCCTCATTCTGGTTTATTTTCACTTTTTATATGTTTACGTCTTACTTTATTTACTACAATGTTCGGCTTCAATAAAGCTAAAAAGAGAGACTTTACATTTGTACTGTACATTTAAATAAATAAACACGTATAACAACAATATAGTTGAATTGGCTTTAATTGGCGAGTCAGATCTTTCCTGAACATTCCAAGGCAAACGTCCAACTTTACATATGCCGAGTGCTCGGCTTGTGGGTGACTTTATGGAGATTCTAAAGCTAACTGCCCCATTCATAAAACGCTTTGACTGATGAGCAGATTCCGAGGCCTCTTCCCCCTGTGGTCCTGAACAAAATAACCATTTCACACTGATCTGACAACAGTTTTGCCATTTCTCTTATAAATGGCTGTAATTATGAATTGGGGAGGGGGAAAGATCTGGGATCAGCGTGAAAGAATATTTTCTAGCAGTAGTACCCGCTGGGATCAGTGGACACCTTTATTCTACTGAACTGACCTCAAGGGGCCTGCAGGCTCTCATTTTATAGCCCGTGACTGAGGCTTTTCCCATGTGCCTCACAGCCAGGGTCAGAGTGCACTGCAGTAACCAATGCAACGCCTTAACAAGACTGTTATAGTAAGCACTTAACATGCATTAAGACAGTGAGAGTAAGGGAAGTGAGAGACAGAGACACAGCGAGAAAGGCTGGAATAGAGGACAAGAAAGTCATTCAGGGAGTGAGAAAGAGGCAAGAGAGAGAAAGAGAGAGAGAAGAAAGGAGGAAAGAAAAAGGCAAATCTTCTAAACCCCTTCAAATCAAAGGAGTTGTACATGGACCCACATTTCAATCCCTCACTCTCATAATAACTATGTTTCATAACAGTTACAGAAAAAAATACATGATAATAAATCTTAAGAATTATGACTGAACAATGAGCCTAAGGTTCATAGGGTTGAAGCTGTTCTGAAGCTTGGCGTCCCTCACCTTCCCCACTGGAGGCTTTGGGGGTCCGGTGTGAGGTCCATGCAGATGGCTCACACCAACCCACACTGGTGGCGGCTGCGATCCGCAGAAGATAGACTGTATCTGGCTGCAGGCCCTCCAGCAGGCGCTTGGTTTGGTCCCCAGGCAGCTCCAGCTGGGTTGTGGCTCCGTCAGAGCTGGGCCGGTACCACAGACGGTACGCAGAGATACGACCACGGCTAAGTTTATGTGAGAGCGGCAGCCACGACACCTGGATGTCTGTGGGACTGCGGCTGGTGAGAGATAACTCAGGAGCACGCACGGGAACTGAGAAAGAGAGACAGAGGCAGAATACAGTATAAATGGACATGGCAAACACTTAAGATGTAAACACAAGGTGCATTTTCATCATATGGAAGGCTACAACCTCAGAGAATACCAGCAGGCACATGAAGTAAAACATGACTTCTAGTAAGTGATGTAGATAGACTACTCTTTTCAGTATCACCCTGTCTAATGATTTACCAGCATCCTTTCATCTGTAACTCCCTAACCCCCCCCGAGTTCCTTCCTCTCTTTCTTTGTTCATCTTCCTAGAACAGACCACTTGTTTGTCCTGGAAGAACGCAAGGTCGTATGCTACAATCCTACACCTCAGGTGATATGGTTAAGCATGATCAACCTTTGGCCTTCTCAGGCAGGTCTAAGTGTGCTAGAATCTCCCCACCACACATTTCGTCTCGTTGCGTGTTGTATGATGTACATCACGCTCACCATCTTCAAGTGTGTGCTGTATGATGTGGTCAGACATGCGGCTGGCACCCATAGGCATGTACGCCACCACGTAGAACGTGTAGTTCCATGCAGGCTCCAGGTCATCAATGATGTAACGAGTGGTGTCGTTGCCAATGACAACTTGGTACTCTTCGTTGTTCAGACCTGCAGACGATAAAAGCATAAGAAACAGGATCATGTCAGTGAACTGAATGCTAAAATCACAAGGTGCTTCTTTCATTCAGTACCAGAAATGACCAGATAGGCCAGAAACATAATCAACTCAAGTATGCAAACTTAAATGACAACACACTAACAGCGCGCAGTACTACTGCATGGAAATGTGTGTTCTTATGTTACTGTGGCGCTTAAAACATTCAGTAAGAGCCGAGCAGTCCTGCGAAAGGTTTGTCCAACCGCTGGTTTGTCTTAACAGCAGACTGGATGAAAGCACGCAGGCGATAGGAGATAGCTTTGCCAGACTTGGCTGTTGCTATAGCGCCCCTTGTGGCAACACTCAGAATGCAGCTTGCTTGAGATACAATCTAGAGGTGGCTCGATATGATGCATTTTTTCATACAGCAAATATGTGCATATGTTGGTGCTAATATGCTAATGTTTGCATCATGTGCATAGCCTACATGCCCTAACTATACACGTTTTCAGGTCTGATACAATTTTTAATTCCGAAGTCATGATTCAACTCAATTTTCAATGTTTTATATTTATAAATAAAAGTTTTCCAATAGAACTTTTTCAATGTCTGCCAAAAACTCCAAAAAGCACACCCGTACAATTTCTAATTGATTTGTATTTATTCATATTTGTATTTGTATTTATATACACCCAGTCATTTGGGTGTTGGTACATGCATAACATTAGCCCCTCTTCCCCCCCCGTCCACTTTACTCCAATAGGAAGCCAGGTTTTGATAGCTGACAGTGGTTTCTACAAACAAAGATAAATTATACAGGTTTAAATATCTTGCATTATTTACAAATCATCTTGGACATTGGGTATTCAAGCATAAATTACCTTATTTTTAACAAAGTCTGAAGCTGAAGTGCAAATGTCTGCTTCCCTTGCACTACAATGCCCTCCTTTTACATACAATAATTTGTACATAATTGCTTAATAAGATCCCTGTTAAGCCTCCTGATTCTTCCATTCAGTTCCTTCAGTAATGAACCTGTATGGTTATTCTAAACAGGGCCCAGCATAAAAGAGACATGTCAACTCAATCAAATTGGTCACGCCTCCTTCAACAGGCGATTTCATAGTCACTACTAAAGCCAAATTCCACATGCTGATTTTCTCACACAGCCAACGTGTCTGATAAGGCTTTAATTAGTCCCGATTAGGCAGCTCACACAAAAGAATCCCCCGGAGCCTCACAACGACTGAATTCACCATTTCTGACCCACCAAACAAGATCCTTAAGACGCCACAGAAAAGGCCTTGTCCTCTGTCTGAATAGCCTCACCGCTGACTTTAACTGCTAGACTTTTACTGAAGTTTAAGAAACACACAAACGCTTCCCTACATCACCACTAACTCTAGTGTTGAACTGACACACTCTAATAGAGCTTAACTGAGCAACTTTTCACTCCCTTTTCCCTCACTTCCTATCAATTTTTCTCATTCTATCTCTCCCTCACACTCTTTCTCTCCTTGTCTTTCTCACTTCAGTATTGCACTAGCAATTAGGGAACAATCCTGGGAGGCTTCCTCTGTCCTAAAGGCTTAAGAGCACCCAAAAAGAGCAGTCCTGAGCGCAAGAGTAGTCCTTCTTCTTCTGACCTGTTTTCTCTCTCTTTCTTTCTCTCACACTCTTTTTTGTGCCTGAAAGTGCTGGCAGGTGTTTCTTTTACTGACTTTTCTTTCACACGTTAAAGCTGCTTAATGGAATTCTACAGCAATAATTAGGCTGAAAAGGGGATGTTCTTGTCAAAAAGTGACTTTTGCTGCTTCTTTATTAACAATGACAGTGCCCAGCATGCTGGAGCTCCACAATGAGGCCAGTGCTGCCTTCCCATAACTGGCCTTTTTGCTTTCAGAAGTCAGGAATGTTCCGGAATAAACAGGACTGTGTCTTCAAGAGGTGAGTTACTGTAGGTCACTGCCGGTGGTCAGAGAGAATAAGCATGTGACTATATGTCTATATATGTTTTTTAAACACACTGAGGTTATGGGAAAAAGGAAAGGTGGTTTAACTGAATAATAACATCCCTAAGTAGTTCCAAAAATGATGAAAGCAAAGGACAGTAAATTATTATTCCATATTATGGTCAACCAGACCCTTAGCCAGACATAATGGAACTTTTTTAGCAAAATGTCTTTAAGACCAATCTAGTCTGATTTAATTTCTCCTTCAACCCTTTAACGTATATTAAAAAACAGCTATTTCTGTCATTTAATGTACTCATCATCACTCTTAATGTGCGTTTTAACATGATATCTCAGTGCTGTTGTCATATTTTATTATTTATGTAAAGAACATGACCTAAGAAAGCCAAAAAATAAAGGTTTTTTTTTGGATACGCAAACATGAATTTTCACACTTTAGTTCCCTTTTTTGGTAATCTGATGCAACCTATCAATAATAAGTGTCTCCATAGCGATGTGAATAGCATCCTGAATGTGTGCAGACACTCGCTCAGAAACTATTGCAGTGCATCCCACAATAAATAAGCATGGAGCTTTTTTATAGTGGTAGGAAACCCAGTACCACACAGAAAGCTCCTGTTACTATAGCCAAGGTGGGCATGTATGCTGCCCAACTTTTACATTCTAACGAGCTAATCTAGAGACCCAGAGTCTGTCTCAGAAAATTTCATGGCTCATTTCAGATTCTAGGTTTAAAGGCTACGTTCACATTATAAGCCTTATTGCAAGAATGCAATTTTTTGCTCAAATCCAATCTCTCTGACAGGATGGTTCACACTCGTGATTCAAATCTGACCTTAATGTGAACGAACCGGCGTCCTGAAATGACCCGTATGCGCACATCGTACTCAGTAACATCATGTGAATGAATCGTGTGCGTCACGTGCATCATCAGCAAACAAACTAACGAGCAGAACGAGCTTTGGCTGCAAAGACAATTAACTCTGGTCAGCTCTCAGCTGTTCATTATTAGAGCGAGACGAAGGTGAAAAGGGTGAGATGTGCTGCTTTTGTACCGTTTACAGGCTTTAACTTCTGTTTGATGCTGCTGCCATGGTAACGCTGAATGATGACGCACGCACAGTGGAAAAAAAGCACATGAATTCCGATCTGAGTGTTCACATTAAGGTCGCATGGCCACGAATCGGATAAGTATCTGATCTAGGACCACATATGAAAGTGTCTCAGGTCGGATTTGAAAAGGTCGGATTTGAAAAGATCAGATTTGTGTCCACACAGCCCTGAAAACATCAGATCTGAGTCACATTAGGGCAAAAAATCAGATTTGTGCCGCTTCAGCCCGGTAATGTGAACTAAATCGAAAAGACTTCACACCATTTTTTCACAAGATTGACAGATTCTTTGCTGATTTATATACTGTGCTAAGTTCTGACACAAGTACTATGTGTGATTTACCTTCTGCCTTCATGTAGTGGATGGAGTAGGCGATGACTTTGTCCGCGTTGTAGAGGGGTCTCTCCCAGGCCAGCAAGATGGCTGAGCTGGACACGGTGTCAGCACGGATATTCCGGGGGGCGCTGGGCCGGTCCTCTGACATCACCACAATCAGACGAGCCGTGGACAGAACTGAGCCCTGATTGTTCTCTGCCTGGCATTGGTAAATCGCATCATCCTCAGGAATAATCTGGTTTATTACCAGTTTACTAAAAATAAAGCAAAAAAAACAGGAATTTAAATAAAACTTTCAATCACTCATTGACATCCAAACACATACATGCATAAACCACTGCATATTGTCACTGCCACAACAAAAACTTCCCCAAAAATAGTAACTTTATAGGAGAGAAACAAAATGTTAATTTTACTATATGTAATTTTGGGGTTTCAATATGAGCATAATGTTATGAGGTTATGATATAACTAAAGTTTGGGAGGAGGACAATGCCTAAAGCTCGTCAACCCTCCTATCTGACTTCCTATAAATTTCCTGTGATGAAGTTTTCACACCCTACCACCTCCCTATCTCCTGTCTGTTCCTCAGTCCTATCTCTGTTCATCAAGGTGGATCTGGCCGTTTAAAGCAGCAGCTGCTCCGAACACCAGCCTAAGTTCTTTGAGTTCTTTTCCCTTCTTCAGTAACGCAACCATACTACATGTTAAAGACGTAGTCTGAACCTGTAAAACGTCTGAAACTGTACAGACCCCTACATTCATTTTAGCTTTGCTGTAATGATTTTACAGTGTAGCAGAACACTAAAGTCACCACTATTCTCAGCCCTTCTCTCAATCAGGATCCTATAACAAACATAGGCTGTATGCACTCATGATTAAAGGGGGCAAGAAAATCAACTAAAACGGCATTTGCAAAACACTAAATTATTAACGCCCCTCTCATTTCACTGAGAGGCTGATGAATATTTCAGTGAGACAGAGTTTCCAGCAGACAAATGAGGCAATTTAAACCCCAGGTGCTGAGTGTCTCAAGACTGATTGGGTAGCAGGTTACCAATTCTACTTACTTACAGTTCAGTCCATTCTAATCTATAGATTTTGAAGGATGTTTGAGGGCAAACCACTTATGTCTTTTGAGCAATTAACTACAAAAGACTTTGTTTACATATCTGCAGCTTAGAGATTACACATTACTTAATGTGATGTAAAAAAAAATATTAATAAAAGGCCAAACATACACTTGTTTAGATACAGCTTTCAGCTCAGTCTCTTTTGTGGATATAGATGGCTTTCAACAGAAGACGAATGAGATTTGATCAGTGTCAAGCAAGAAAAACAGCTGTAATTAGAGATAAACTCCTACCACTCTCCTTTCCGATACCGATATTCGATCCTTAAGTACTGGCCGATACAGAGTATTGTTACCGGCATTAACACTATCTAACCTAACTTAACTAACTTACTTAAGTCTTGATATTTGAATGGTTCCACTTTTTAAATATTTTATTTTGGTAAAAGCTTGGTAAAAGAGTGTTCTATGTCACTAATGAAAAAACACATATAATTTGAGATGTTTAAGACTAATCTATTTTTGTCATTGGTATCTACTATCATATAATTAATAATAAGAACCATATTTAACAAATGTATTAAATGCATAATATTTGATTGTGCAAACAGTTCAAAACAGAACTGATGAATGCATAATAAACGTGTAGTCTGCACATGTAAGCATGCAGCAGCTTTCCTGGCCTGGCAAAAACAGTGCTGAATGTTATTTCACATCCAAATTTGAAATTTTAAGTAATTTGTCTCATATGTGCATCCCGTTTACTCACACTTAGCGTCAGACTGGGGTTCAGTATACCCCGCCGCTGCATGATACAGCTGACAGACAGAGGACACACAGGCCAGGCTAGTGGGCTGCTATACTAAAGGCTAAACCAAGACTAAAGGCTATCACTACCTCAAGAGTCAGGCAGTTCCTTCCATATAATGTTTATTCTCTCAATAACAAGCTGGACTAACATTAACTCAGACTGTAACTGACTACACAGAAGGAGATGAGCCACTACTGAAAGAAGCAGCTCAGCTGTTGAGGGAAATGTTAGTGTGTTTTACACCATTAGCATGTTTCACACTGTTTACTTGTTGCATTATTTGAGGTATTTGTGAAACCAATAGCTAAGCACAAATTCCAAATGCTATATCGCCCTCTACTAATGCCCTTTCACAAAAAAACTGGCATTACAGAATTTTTAATACTGCTATTACTACTATTAATACTGCTTTACTACTGCTGTCATTTTTGTCTTTTCCTGTCAAAACACACCCACTTGTTAATTAGTTGGATCAGGTGTGTTGGGAGCAGAGCAAAGAGTTCTGCAAGACCAGGGCTGGAAAACACTGCTATAAATTATAATGTAATGAGGTTTGTCAGTGTAACATCTTGTACCTGTTGTACATCTTGATGCGGCCATTAGCGTGGACAGGTTCTCCATTCTTGAGCCAGGTGATGTGAGGGGTCGGCACCCCCTCAGCCTGACACACAAAGCGTCCAGTGCCGGCACGTGGTCGGGTCAAACTTTCAGGCCATTCCACCAGAGACGGGGGTGCTGAAATGAGACATTTTGCTTCAGTGTTCTCAAAAACAAGGCAGATTTACTATTAGTAATTTATCTCAAAAGCAGAGTAAGCAAACACTAACTAAAGCGTGATCCAAACTGGGTTAGTCTTCCTTGGAAGGCCATTTAATTTACTACTTTATTTAATTACTGATGATCTCTCTGATTTTGATCCAGTATAAATCTGCGTAGTTCTAATCATCTGATGTCAACATCCACACTTTGATCTTTCAGACCTCTCACAGATTACACAAGGTCTTCCATGGTAAAACTAACCCAGCTCCAGCAGTCCATTAGGTTCCTTGCCTAAGGGCCTTACCAAGCACAGTTACATTAGCGGCTGCGACGGTGTAGTTTCTTGTGCCGGGTGTTGTTGCTCGGCAAACGTACACCCCAGCGTGCTGCCGCTTGACGTCAGAGATGAGCAGGTTGCCGTTGCCGAGCACTTTTGTGTTATAAACATCTATGGGTTTGTGATCAGCACGACTCCAAGAGATCAGTGGCCGAGGGTTTCCCACCGCCACACATTCCAGAAGTGCGCTGCCATGCGTCGACACTGTGATGTTCTGTGGCCCAGCGATGATGTGAGGCCGCTGAGGAATTCTGAAAGATGGAGCTAGAGTAGGAAACAACGAGTACACAATATGTTAATAGCAACAAAAACAACAACAACCACAAAACTGCACCTTGTTCAGGTCTCTCTTGCTTACCTGGCGTAACAGTCAATGTTGCTTCCACACTCCTGCGACGGTTGGCAATATTTGCTGCCACACAACGATAATTCCCAGCATCCTTTTGGTCTACTCCCTGAATCTGCAACACTCCGCTGGGCAGCACTGTGATTCTGAATAATCAAACAGAGGAAAACAAATAAACAAAATACTTTACACAGTTGAAACAAACTCTTCTGGTCTTCAAATGTGTATTTAACTGTAATACATTCAAAAATATATCTAGTGAAATACTAATGCATGCTTGAAATGAATACATCAATTTAAGAGTGTGTCCCAGTCAGAAATCAGCTATTTGCTTTCAGTCATTGTCTCTGGAGGGCACATTTGGCAAGCTGGTTCTGTCTGGGATGCCTCCCTTGTACTAACAGCTCTGTGCCGTGTACCTGTCAGTGGCCAACGGTAAGGTGACTCTGTTAAATTCCCAGGTGATGATTGGTGGGGGTGTGGCGCTGATTTTGCAGGTGAAGCGTGCAACAGAACCCTCCGTCACCACAATAGAGGAAGGCTGCTGGGTGAATGTGGAAATGCCTGGACAGAGATACATCACAGTGAATTAGTTCTTATAAGAATCAAATTGGTCAATTAAAGAATAGTCAAATAAGTATTTCTGAACTGCTAAAGATTAAAATCTGGTACCAATAACAACCAAATGTTATACTTAATGTGGGCAATATGGCAAAAAATAACAATACGGTAAGTTTCACAATGGTCTGTGAAGAGGTTTGTGAACAAGTCAAAACGCACCAGTAAAACAGTAGTGATAAGTAGTAATACATTAAAAAATGGCTATGAAAAACTAAGGACAGTGATTTTTTAATGTTTGATATTTACAATACCTAAGAAGAACTAAGGGGAAAAATAAACAATTGGTAAAAAAAAAACAGCATTAATTACATCTATTTAACTACTTGTTGCTATACAGTTTAAGCAGTTACTATAAACTGACTGTTGCATACAGTCTTTTTATGTTACATGCAGTTGTTCAGTATCTTAAAAGTACAGATGATACTCAAGATAAGCTCAGAAAGAGTATGTTGTGTATTTTGCATGGATTACAATGTCATATTATTATAAATGCTCATTCCTGCTTTACACTTATCTATGAAACATGTAAAAACAAACAGTCAAAAGCTATTCTATGGGAATCTACAGCACTCCATGTGAAAGCCGTACATATTAACATAAAATATGAAAGTAAAAGACCAAAGCAGTAGTGAATACAGTATTCAGATCCACAACTGAACACAAATATCTTCTCCCACATGCTCTCTGCTCTCTTTGTCTCTCTCTCTCTCTCTGGATGGTAAAGGTTGAACGTATTTCCATCAGTCACATCAATCCTCTTTAGCCTTAGACTTAAAGACCAACTTTGCCTCAAAATTGCAATCAATGACTCTTGCTGAAGACAAAGTGAACAAGAAAGAACAGATTTACTGCCTGAATTTACTCCACTGTCTTCTCACTACCCATAAACTCCATTCTAAAGAGTCTCAGACAAGTATACCGTTTAACCAGTGATGGAATTTTACATTTTTTAGAAACACTCATAGAAAAAACATATCCTTCCTTTTTACATGTCCTTGTTTCCTTTCTACTAACGGCCTGCTCCGTGTTGAGAGCCCCCCACGAATCAGGAAATGAGTATAATGGACAATAAAGGGGTCTACCCTATTCATACCAGCCTTCATGCTGCACTAAAACAGAAAGTTCTGAGGCTTGAAACTGGTTTAAAAGGAAAAATCATGGAGCGTATAATGAAGTGAAGTCAGCTGAAGACAGTGGAGGCAACTGAATCAAAGAATCAAGAAAATGTTGACGTGCACTGAAACAAACAGAAGCATCTGCTGTTTCCTTACAAAGTCTTTGTCCTGGGTTGGAGCAATGCAAAACCATTGTAATATTACAAAGAGAGAGAGTAATAAAAAAGAGAGAGGGAAGGGGTCAGTGAAAGGTGATAGGGTTAGAGAAGTGACTGTATCAGATGGATGAGCAGTGAGAACCAAAAGGTCTCTAGATAAACATCAACATGTCAGACCTCACAGCAACACAGCGCTGCCCTTTTGGTAACAACTATAGTGCGTATGTTTGTGTATGTGTTAGGAACAGGGCATTCTCAGTTTTCAGAAGTACTGATGTATTGTTAAAAATATACTGAAAATGTTTAAAAAATGATAATATATGCTGATATAAATTGTATCACAGCTTTTATGCTGATAGATGATTTCTGATAGACTCTTCGACAAATTATGAAACCTTTTTTGGTATCGTAAGTATTGAAAACATTTTATACCCCCAGCAATTCTACTGTTTATACAAATTATAAATATGTAAATATGTGTTGCATTTATACAGAGACTGTATCAGAAGGCTATTCACTTCCACAATGCTTTGGTTAAAATAATTGTTTAAATAGTTGTACACCGGATCAGTCAATTCTGAAACAGTGTAGTTGTCAATGGTTTTTATACCACAGTATATCATTATAAACAGTAACTAACTTCTAGGTGTTCATGGTTCTACTCTAATAGGGCTGCCACCTATATGTACACGCTATTATAATGGTCACTTTATTTATTACACTTAACTCTCCCCCAGTCCAACTGACCATTTCAGGCCATTTCAGGTTCACATATTTTTTCCTTCATTCTTCTATATTGACTTCTATAAGGGTTCCATGCCCTAAACTGATTCATGATTCATTTGCTGCTGGCACGTCCTGTTATGTGTGCACAATTTTGATTGTAACTCTTTCCAAAAAGAACGGAATGGCTTTGAATTTCACCCAGAATCAGTGTAATTTCAGGTCCTTTACAATTCTTATTCCTACAAGTACTGCTTTACGTCATCTATCAAAAGTGTAGCTGAAGTCTATATAAATTTCTCACTCTCTCTTCCACGCTCTCAGCTATCAAACCATGTGCAAATTAGCACCTCACCACATGTCCTTTCTCTAAGCCTGGCTGCTAATCCGCTCTATAACGATCTGGATCTGACACCCCCTACCCCGAATAACACCTTCACAATATCTGATTCATGTTACACAAAGCACTAACAAACTTTGGTGGGGAAACAACAACTGTGAAACCTGCAGGTTAGATGCTGGAAAACAAAACATATGGATGCCATCCTGAAGTCACAAATCATCTGTAAGCCATGTGTAAAAAATTGCCCCTTTAAAACCTACACCAGCAGGAGCCGTGAGGAAAACGTGTCCTGCTAAAGATATGCGCCTGTCGTTTATTGGATCCATACAAGGAAACTCACTGTTGATCTAGGTCTTCCTGCCCAAAGCTGGCTGTTTATTTAGTAATTAAAAACTCACATTCTTTGTTTCTCTTTATTTCGTCTTCCTTTATGACGCAGTGCTCTGCTACAGACGCCACAAACTTCTACTAACACTTAAGACTTCAGGAGGCATTTAACAAGACATCAATCACATTTTAACACATTATAAACAAACACCAATAAACACATGCACAGCTACTATTAAAACAGACTTTGCTTTGTCGGTGTTCATATTTTGAGTGGCATTCGTGTTACATAAAGAAAGGGAAGAGGCTGATGTTTTAGCTGAATACTAAAATGGATTAGTCTATAGTAGAAGGCTGTTTTTCCTTCTGTCCTTTTCCAAGCTGAGAGCTATAAAACCCCCACTAGCCATTAAAATCAGTGGCCTCATCTCACCCCCCACCGCTCTTTCCTCGGTCTAGAAGGCCTCACAGAAGCCCCAGTCAATGATTAGTTAACCCAAATCAATGGCAGCGCCGCAGCTGATAAAGACTTTACTACGAATCACATTTTAGAGATGGCTGAGACGAGTGAAATGTTTGCCTGGGGCTTCAGAGCGTGATGACACACGCACAACCACAGCATTCAATCAGTGCATCTGATTACAAGGATCTAAAACAATGGGGAGCTGAACCAAAGTGACACGTGATACTAACTGAAGTTCCTTTAAACAGATAATCTGACCAAACAATGCCTACATGGCTAGCAGCGAATGAACGTTTGTAGAGGCAGTTAACATAGTCAGAAACGAGCCTTTTTTGTACGTCGTGCAAAACTACAACTTAAAAGCTCCATTTAGCATATTACTTCAAAAAGGCTTTCACTACTGAAACAAGATTTGGCAAGATTATGACCACAAATGCACTGAAATAACACTGTTAGCCAGCAAATGTTAGACAAAATAATAATTCTTGGATGTGGCCTGCCCATAACTCTATGTAAATTAGTGACTGCTTGGACAACAGTGGTCTCTCATTTATTGCTGTGCTTACTTTTACAATATTTGTCCACTTTGTCCTCTGTGATATGCAATACGCTGATCCTGATGTCCCTAAAATGGTGTGCACATGCATTTTTACAATGTATTTCAGTCAGTCGGTCAGTAAGGGACATCGACTCTTCTTAATCGGCCAGCTAAAACATAGATTTGCAGTGTTAGCAGTAATAATCAATATGAGCCAGGGTCAGAACTGACCAAGTCTTTCAGTTTGAAAAGTCAGACCAGTTGATTATTCAATTGAGTCTGTTTGTGTACATGCACACAAAGTGCAGGCCAGACTCCTGAAAGTCTGAATAGCAAGAGTGTTGAGCTCAGAAAGAGTTGGCAAGAGTGGCACTTCTTGGCTCGGGATGTGCTCCTCTGGATATAAGCAAGAGGAAAACACTCTGCTGACCCTTGGCCCTATGAAGAAGCATCAGACCATGAGACAAGAGGTAAGATAAAGGAACGAAGGGACGCGATTTGCCCTTGTGACATACGAGCACCTTTATGTAACATTCTGATTGCATTTAGTTTGTTCTGATAGTTTAACTATTTAGGAAAAAGCTTCATTTTCTTTTAAATCATGTTTATAACATAAATGCAAAGAATATTCTCATGCTGTACCTCAGTATTAGGGCTGACACACACACAGGCACTATCATCAGCAAACCAAAGTTTAATCTCCACGTCAGCTTATGACTGAAAAGACAGAGCCAATATTTCAACCTTGAATATTTCCCTCTTTCTAGAGTTCCTATTAAAACAACCTATGTAGGGCCTGTCAAAGGCCTGACAGTTCTGAATGTCCTAAACTGCAAACTGCAATTTTATTAGCAACAGCGCTCAAAAGAAATAACCGTTCTTTAGACATGATTTCAACACCAATCAAATAGTCTGCTGATCCTATGTACCGTCGTTGACTGAATAGTACCATATGATGAAGGGATCACCAAAACAGGGTTGCCAGGCGTTAACTTTGAAACAGTAGGGAATCCCGCTTTGCCTCCTCGTGTTCATATTGCAGAAAAGAATGCTCAAGATGTTTTTTCCGACGACAACTCTCAGATTCTCACCGGCCCTTCTACATCTGTGAGGCCAGAGAAAGGCTCAGCTTTACCGCTGCAATAGTAGACCCTCACTAAATTAACACAACACTGTAACTTTGAGCAGTTTGCACCATGTAAAACCAACACTATAACCTGCACAATAATGGACTGCTCTAACACCTGACAAAATACTTCTGAGTAGGTGTGTGTGT